AGTAGCTCCTGAAGCGTTGGCATTGACTGACTGTCGGTTGAACGCTGGCGCACCTTGGAGTCGCGCAGCTGAGACCTGACCTGACCTGACCTGATTTTGGTCGGCGTATTCGCGTGCACCGCGCACTTGGTCTCCCATCTGCATCCGCTCTGCTATAAGAAGCTGACGCCAAGCCATAAAAAAAATCCAGAGCGGGTCGATACATGGTTGGCGCACGGCTGTGTGTGGTAGCCGGCGCCCATCGACTCACTTATCGTTTGTTGTATGTAAGTGTGTAAACTTTTTCCTCTGTTGGAACTGAATATGGCAATACCACTGCGGGTTCTAGTCGCCGAGATTTGTATCAGTTTCCGACCCGTTTTTTTCACGTTTGGCGATTTAAGGCTGCTACGCTTCCCATGTCAGTCATACGAATAGGTTAAGCGGTGATGATGTTTCAACTTTGCAGTTATACGCCGCCTTGCCAAATCCTTTGCATTAAAATGCCTGGAAGATACAAGTAACTTTTGGACAATTGCGGTACATATTGCAGAAAATGTATCGGTGGTGGAAAACAGCGGCTACAAAAATGTGATCCCTTTGAGTTCGTTCCGGGTTAAGCTGGGCTGCGCTGCCTTAGCCAGAGTAAGAATGCATCTTTTCTGTCACCGACGAAATTTGGAGCAGCCTGAATTGTCACCTGGAACCAAATCCATCACATACCATTGCAATGTAACCATAAAAGTGATAAACCACGCAAAAGAAAGATAAACCCATTGTTATGCGTCATAAGCATCATAAATCGCAAACGCCGGGCGCCATGAATGTTTTCATTCGGAAGGTTCATCTGCACTAAATTATCATTTGCTGGTCATGCAAAAGTTCCCGTGATTAGTACGTGGGTCCTGGTGCATGGGTGGCCGGCGCAGCGGGCTTAAGGCCAAGGAGCACGGCCGTTCGGTTAAAACCTATGATGTGGCATTTACGGAGAGAGGCGAGAACAAGCTTGGTCAGTGTCCGTTTCACAACCATAAGTGCCCGATCTTACGACATATTGTGGCAATGTCAGCGTTGGAGAAAGAGCTCTTGCTAGGTTTAATTCATCCATAAAAATCACTCTCCACCGCTTTGTTGTAGGCTTTGCCCCCTTTTTGATGTTGGAAACTGCGTTGCCATAGGTTGAGAATTGTTTTGCTGTTTTAGGTCTTATACATTTTTCTATATCTTTAATCACTGCGCCTGAAATGAAATTTCAGTTCTCCATATTGCCTAAAATTCATATTTCTAGCCTTTACAATCCACGCCTGGGCAATATTTGCTCCCCAATCCAGAACCACCAACCACAAATCGAACACTGGATAGCCTATTTTATGGCTTCGGTCACATGAAAGGCGGGTCAGTTTTCGCGTAACGGGCCGTGCTTAGCACCACTGACTGATTATTTTGGACACCGGGCGCTGCGACTTTTTCGTTATATGATGACCTTATTTTGTGCTTCGCACAATTCTGATTTCAGGGTCGCTCACGGAACAAAATCGTGTCTTTTTAAAGCGGCATTTGGGCGGTGTACATATATCAAATTGATCTAAGTCAAGTCATGAATCAAAATAAAATTTAACTGCATTATGTCCGCCCCTAACATTTCCACTAACCTGTCAAACATATTCACGCGCAGCACAACATATGTTCCAGCTATGGACCAGGAACCTAATGACTACACATCACGACCTCGTAAAAAATTAGAGGAGGGCGTGAAATACTTGTTGCATTAACCCGCACTGTGCCATGATGATTGTCTGCACCTTCACAGAGCGCCAATACCTCACTGCAGTGGCGGTGGGCCGATCACTCGAGCGTCACTCTTTTGATCACTGGGACTGTCGAATGTCCGGCACACGAGCGGGCGCATGTCGGCAGAGAAATGGCCGCGTGTCCGGGACAGCAGCGGCCATCGGGCACAGCAGAGGCTGCGTGTCCGGCACAGGAGACGTTGCGTGACTGGCACAGGAGAGGCCGCAATTCCGATGCAGGGCTGGGAAGCGCTGGTGCCGGGCCTCGGAGCGTTTAACCCTCGCCTTGATTCACTGTTTTTGTTCATAGCACGGACTGCGGGTGGAGGGTGGCAGCGGGATCGATGCGACCCTCCTGTAGTTTCCCAAGTAAAAGAGACAGCGTCTTGCGAAAATAATAGTGGATGGACCCCAACAACATCTCGCGATTAGCAATGAGTTGCATGTTACCATAACAAACATTTCCACGTTACCAGGGCAATAATTGACTCTATTAGACCACGTCAAAGGTCGAATTTTCCTGACAATCTAGGTTTTTAACATGACATACCTTAAGGTACGAGATAATGTTTTGTAACCACGCGGAATTGAAATATGCGTGTTTCTACACATGTTTGTGATAAGGGATCCGTTAAAGAGAGTGTGTCTGATGTTCTCGGTATTCTAAGTACAGGCCTAAGGGGAGTTTAGCAAGTATATACGGTTAATTTTTGTTTCTAAATGTGCATTTGGGTGATGCAACAGTTTTAATCTATTTATTTTTATCGATCCCATCGATGGCTGTGCGTGACCAAATACAATCCTAAAAGATAAGCCAATCGGCGGGCAGGAAGCACGAATGCACTAAGTTATATGTGGCCAGTAACTGCGCGCTAGAGACATGGCCGTTATGGCGGTTGCTAAGCAGCGTAGAACAATCACATTTCCCTATAGTCTGGTGCAGCCGGCTGACACGACGCAATACTTGTTCCTCATCTTAGCATATAGTAGACCGACATGAACTGGTGCGTATCAATTGACCAGCCTTACCATGTGTCTAAAGCCGTATGCTCGCAGCCGTCAGCTGAGTGTTAACACAAACAAGTCAACATAACGGCCGCCGCCACTGCCGCATTCGCAAACTGCTGTCAGCGCTGACAAGCGACATCACCGGAAAACCATTGGCTAGAACTAACACCTTCTGAATGATGTCGACGTGTTTCGAAGTGAATATTGCTTGGGAGCTACCCGATAACTTCGTTCTTCCATACAAACCAAAGAAAATTCGGGGGCTGTGACAATATGTCGTCAATAGAGGCGAATTTAAAGAAACCAATGCACCAAAATTTGTAAATCAAAAGTTCCCTACCATCCTACGTGCACAGTCGAAAATCCTAACTTGACTATACACACTTCCTTTAATGTAGCGGTGTTAGCACGTCGCGCGCGGCCCGCCAAATCGTCAGTTGCCGCCCGTCGCCCGCGCCAGCGGTGAATCGCCATGCGGTGTTCCTAAAAGATAATACCTTCTCAAAAACCAGCACTGCTGGGGGAACGTCTTTTACGTCAAGAAAGTGCAATGGATGCTCCGGAGGATACTGCAGGTTTGGGCGCGATTGCGCGACATGCCGGAGAAGTTTCCTCCGAAAACCTTAGGGAGTCACGTGCCAAACTTACCGTTATGGGAGGGCGTGGGAGGCTGTGCACGGTCTGCCGGCCTCGAACCTCAAGCGTATCCACGAGACCCACGCCATCGCAGATCCAAAATCAGGTCAGCAGCAGCTGTAGACGCGCGTTCCGGCCAGGCCCGTGTCCATTCTGCTAGAATACAGAGACTGAAGCACGCATCGTATGGTAGTCATAACCTAACTCTGCACTGGGGACTGGGTCAAGCCAGGTTTTATCCTGGAAATGAAGCTGCTGACTGCCTGGTCAGCAATGTGGTGGTTTTCGAGCAGGCCACCAATCCCATCGATCCGACCTAGGCGCACGTGGATCTGGTGCGGCACTGTTGATCTGGATGATGGCAGATTCGTGGTGACCCGCGCCCAAGTGCCGCAGCCGATGCCTGGATCTGACCCACTCAAGCTCATCACTGTCTCTCGGCAGTGGATGAATGAAATTCAAACATATGCACACATGTAATTCGATCCTTCGTCTGAACATTAGGTCCAGACTAGCGTATCTTGTGAAATAGGCCGATTAGAGGGAGTGTCCCGCCTTTTGTTACATTTCAAAAACACACGCTTGTGAGACCTCAGGAATAGTGGGGGCTAAGAATAACACTGGATTGGCTCATTAAAACATCGTCAAGGCATAATATGGATACCAATTTTAATTATTTTTGAGTCCAAACTACGCTGTTAACGCTTTGTCAACAGCACTACACTCCTATGCAGTCGCGATCACCGTCAAGTCAACCACCGTGTGCACCTCTACTGGTGCGAGTGAAAGAACGTTTGTGATTGGCCCAGTGGGCAAAGGCCTGTTACCGAGAAGCGCATTGGTTGAAGTTTGAACCTATGCATCACAAGGATCATGTGGCTTTCCCAGCCCCACAAGCCAGTGTGCCTCGAAAGGGCCACTATGATAAACGTCGTGGGAAATAGATCAGCGCTGTTGTTTACTGTATCGTTGAATTCATGGGGTAATAGATTCTTGTTTGCTTATTTTTGCTCAGACAGGGTGTTTCAAGCTTTCGGACCATCTACTAGACACACATTTCGACACATAAGCGTGTTTCAAACATTACCGGACACACCCGTTGAAAGAGTGGGGCAAATGAAATACATTACTTTCAAAGTGGTAAGCAGGAAGTCAAATGAGATTGGTCCCGCAGGACAAACGATATTTGTCCCGCAGGATAGGCTGTTTCGGATAAAATAATCAGGATTTCGGAAAAACAGGCACTACTGATCAAATTGTACGCGCCTGATGCCACAAAAAGTGAAGCACAACGGCGGAGGACTCCGTTAAAACTACAGAGAAATATTCGCCAGCCCCTCTCCCATTATTACCACGCAAGAGGCTACGGCATAATTTGTTGCCTGGAGGGTGTGCACCGCCGCCACCACCTAAATGTTCTGAACTGTGGCTTGTTCGGAGAGCGGACCGGTTTTTCCGCAGCTGTTGATCAGATAGTGCCACATTAACCGGCATTTGTAAGACACCATGCACGGTAACAGCACGGCCGCCCCGTAATGTTTCTCTCCTCGTGGTGGGAATTTTACGCTGTATGTGAAAGCCGAAACGATGCAGGTGTGTCTCGAACCCATTGCTTCTGCTACTCGTGAAACAAACTTGATCGGCGTGCTCATCACCAAACCACCAGGTATGCATGGTGTGGGAGCAGCTGAATGAAGGACGCTGCATTAAACGGCCCGCGCTCTCCTTTCATCAATGTCACTGATAATGATAAGATTAATTTTCTTTCAGGATACGACAGCTTTGCTTCACACTGCGCCACAGGCTGTAAAGCGATCTGCCCGTGATAAGAAAGCAAACGTGAAGCTTCGACGATAAAATTGTACTGGCATTCCCCAAACGCATGAATCAAACGAGCAAGATCTGAAAGCCCTGGGTAGATCACCCTTACAGCATATTTGATGTCGAAGATTCCAGAATAGCATTCGCTGCTCCCTGCATGCAGAGGCTCAGACCTGTTTAAAAGACCATACAACGAGGGGTTCTACTCGATTTTGTGATACCGATAGCCTATGATGTCTAGCAACTCGGACAAAGCTCCACTGCTATTGAACGAAAACAAGACATCAGGGTACAACTATGGAGCAGGTGATAAAACTGAGGCCAATGGAGAGACATTTGTCACAGCATCATGTTCCGGCGGCAAAGGGCCTCAGCCAACTGAAAACAAGATGTCATGGACCCAGAAGAGGCTGCTGGTTGGTTTAACTCTGGTGAGCCTGTTAAACGGTTCCTTAATAGCGGTGATGGTGCCGTTCTTTCCGGTGGAGGCGGGCCGCGCGAGGCGTCTCACAGACCCTCATCAGCGCCGTGTTCAGTTGCTTCGCCGTCGCCCAGATGATTGCCAGCCCCCTCGTCGGCCGATTGGCGCCCGTGGTCGGCGTCACCCGGCTCTACAACATCGGCATCGCCACGGCCGGCCTCACAACCATCACCTTCGGCACGCTCAACTACATCCACGGCAAGGACGCCTTCGTGGTGGCCTGCTTCCTGGTGCGACTGGTGGAAGCGGTCGGCACGGCGGCCGTGTCCGGCTGCGCCTTCACCATCATCGGTAACCAGTTCGCCGACCGGGCCGGCATGCTGGTGGCGCTGGTGGGCGCCGCCCAGTCAGCCGGCCTGGCCGTCGCACCGGCCGTCGGCGGAGGCCTGTACGCCGTCGCCGGCTTCGGCATGCCGTTCTACGTACTCGGCGGCACGATGGTCGGCGCGGCCTTGCTCAACCAGTGGATGATGCCGCCGCTGGTCAAGTGCGAGAGGAACGCAGTCCCGTTCCTCAGCATGCTGAGCATGTTCGGTCAGTCCTCCAAGAACTGGCTGTGCCTCATGATTGTCTTCCTCTACTCATTCGTGTTTCTGACGTTCGACGCCTGTGTGGCGCCATACGCCAATGACGTGCTGGGCATCACGCCATCCACCCTGGGACTCTATTTCTTGGTGGCCACGACAGTGTACGCTCTGACCAGCTTCATGTGGGCCCGGCTGTCCGAGCACTCCCGCAACCCCTACGTGCAGATGTCGCTCTGCCTGCTGGCGACGACAGGCAGCCTACTGCTAATCGCTCCTTCGCCGTTGCTGAACACTGCACCCCGCTGGTGGCTCCTCGGCCTGGGGCAGACGCTGCTCGAAGGCTTCTTCGGCGGTGCCTACATCCCATGCTTCTCGCAGATGCTGCAGGAGAGCGTGCGGAAGGGCCTAGCGGACGATCTGGTGACGCAGGCGTTTGTGTCGAGTGTCTACTGGACCGGTTACTCGCTTGGCTCTGTGGTGGGTCCCGTTTCTGGCGGCCTTCTTGTGGACGCTTACGGCTTCCCCGTGATGATGACCTGCATGGCTGGTCTGGCCCTGCTAGTCTGGCTGCTGACTGTGATGCAGGCCGTCGGGACGGCATGTTCAGAGGGCCGCAGGTGCCCCTCAGGGAATGAAACGGAACCACTCTGCAGAGCGTGAGGTAAGCCACGTGTATTTGGTTACGCCTGACGTACCTTATCGGTCGTTAACGGGCACCTCAAGTATAAGGACCTCGTGACACATCGCTGTGAAACACGTTAGCACCGCTTGAGTGGGTGTTGGCTTAGGCTCTTGTCGCCTCTCCGTACAGAGTGCAAACCCTATGCACATCGAACAGCCACGCCACTTTTGAGCTGTTGGTGACCTACTCGCGACTTGACAATACAAGCACAAAAATATGCATGTTTTCCTCGAGCGTCTCGGGATAGACAAGGCAGGATCAGAGCAGCGATCCGGCATGTACGCATGCATAGGACAAAGCTCACATAAAGGGCGGCTAAATTGTTGGGTGATGCTGGTGTCGGATTAATGGATGTAATGCTTAAAATGCGTTACATTGCACTTAAGATTCGTGAAATGCACAACAATGCTACGATCCAATAATACGCATAGTGAGGCTTCTTATCGAAAGCTAGCGAATGAAATTGCAGAATCATTAACAGTTTATATTTGTTTCGCGGCGTTCACCAGACCAACTGAATTCTGCCCTGCAATTGTCAGATTGGCTGGCGTGATGGTGAAAACCATCGCCTTGGGCACTTGTGGCAGGTTACACTGCATAATGTGCTTTTTATGGTTGGTCTGTACTTCATACTGATAAACGGTACTGTTATAGATAGCGCCCTGTTAAGCCGTGTTGAACAAAACGCTAGATCCCCCCTGTCGTGATGTTTCCGCATCCGCCCTTGTAGTTTTCAAGCGTTTAAGCGTGTGACTGCACGAAACCAAATGCAAGATGTTTTAACTTAGAGGTATAAACCTGAACAGGCTTTTCGTATTTCAGTGAATAACTAGGCATACCAGAAGATCTCAATAAACACGCTAAAATGCTACGTGTTGTATCAGTCTTTCTCAACAGGGACTGAGTGCGGCAGGGAAGGATTCACGAGTATGGTATTGATGTTTATGAATGAAATCATTTTGCTTCTTCTGGAATTGTTTGCTTTTTAATGGCGCCAGCTATCCCAACCCACGTATATCTTGTTCCTTTGTCCTTTTAGTGGCAGTCTTGGAGTCCCTGGCGGTAGCCATTTCAGGAGCTTCTGACGTCTTCTCGCCCCATATCCTGACCGTCGTAATGAAACCTGTGACGCGTGAAACAATGACACTGCGACGGCTCCCAGTGGAACCCCCGCATGGCATCCCGGACCAAGGCACAAACGAATACTTCTCCGCGAAATTAACATGGGCCATCGCCTCCACAGTCGCCAATAGAACCTTCAGCCGCGCACAACACGTGAGCGACACCTGGACCCGATAGCGATGCTTCTATCCGTCGGTTCAATGACCTGAGGTCGCCGTTCGCCTCTCCATCATATCGTTCAGCAAACAACTGTCCGTGATATTCGACTCTTTGCAACGGGGTGTCATCGCCGTCGCCATCTTTGCTTCTGTCGATGTGGGGAGGGGGAGGGGGAGGTGGGTCGTGCAGTGCTGGATTGGGGGCCTCGATGGGGCCGGTGTGAGAGATCGTATTGTTGGCACGGTACACCGCGGCAAGCACCAAGGGAGCAAAGATCGTCGACCCAACCTGCTGCCAAATCCTGGGGCCCGAAACGATCTTCCCCTTCCTATCAGAAAAAACTCGGGCTTATTAAGTTAGGTTAGGTTAGGTCAGGTTAGGTTAGGTTAGGTTAGGTTAGGTTAGGTTAGGTTAGGTTAGGTTAGGTTAGGTTAGGTTAGGTTAGGTTAGGTTAGGTTAGGTTAGGTTAGGTTAGGTTAGGTAAGGTAAGGTAAGGTTAGGTTAGGTTTATTTAGTTTATCTATTTTCCAAAGGAGGAGGAACGAAGGCAACACCCGCTCAGTGGTCGGTTCGCCAGAGCCGTCACAGTAAAGGACACAAAGCACCTCCGCACGTCCTGGTCCGGGAACCCAGCGACCCTATTCGGTCATGAGCTGCCCACAGACCGGAGGCGGAGGCAGCCTCATAACAGTGAAACTGGATGGCACAATCAAACTGGATGACCCCACGTCAGAGATCGGCAGTAACGACATTCCATGCAGCGCTTGAACACAAGCATGAACGTTTTGCGCCTGACAAGTTTGACAGTTATCGCCACACGTCAGGATCTGTTTATCCAAAAGACGCTGTTGGTTCCCTTAAGACGATACTAGATTGCTTAAGTGGAAACAAAATGTTGATACGTAGCTACATGGCTGTGCTTGAAAAAAATTACTGATTAAAGAGGGGTTCTGCAATTCAAAGTTCTTGTAGAAGCCATTTTGGTCACACGTGCGCCATGAGGTTGGCGTTTTGCACAGCAGCAGCCATGATAAAAAAATGGTGCTAAGTGCTGAAATACATTCTGAGTAGCCCAGTTGATCTTGCTTCGAGCTTTACCTAAAAAGGTACTTATGATCGACTTTGGGCGTAGGTTAATCATGGAGTGATCAGTTGGTGTTAGTGCATGGGCCAGTCAGGGGAAAGGCCGACAGGACTCGGGCCCCTTCCTTAACCCTATATTTTTTGTTTTCCACCCCAGAGCTCCCAACAGAAAGTCTAGAATCGGCTTGATGCGCACCCATCTCGCTCTGGGCTACTTCCTTGAGAAAATCTTGGCTGCACCCTTATGTCGTGTGCATTTTACTGAAATGGGTGATTATGGGAACAAATTGACAACTTCATGCGTCGATATGCCTTCGACGTGCAATGTCCCTGACTTTGATCCCAGTTCAGAAACATGGTATTAGATTTCTTGCTGAGAATCGTCCATGCAATTGAATGGCCTTTGTTGCATGCCAATATATTTACCCAGTCCGTATATATGAAAAGGTACAATGCCCAGCGGCATCCATTTTGCAAACTTATGAGCATTAAGTGAGCCTGAAATGAAATGCAAGTTTCTGCATACCAAATCTCAAGGCAGATCATGGAAGAAAAGCCCACAAGGTCAAGATGTTCAAAAGCAAAATAAGAAACTGGAATTTCCAAAGTTTTCCTGCACCACAACCAGCTCACGAGTAACTACGCTCTTTCGGTTGGGAATACACGGTTACCAATTACGGCACACCAAAAAAAGCCCCGCGGCTTGATTTGTTGAAAATGTCCGAGCGTGTAACTTATTCAATGCTACTTAGAGGTGTCTAAGATTCGAGCAGACGTTTTGACGGCGGCGATGAATCCAAAACGCCAATTTACGATCAAATATATTTACAGATTTTGTAAAAAGATACGAGCGTGCAAATGCGATTTTTATCGTGGAACCCCTTCCTACTCCCCTCCGACCATATAGCGGCAAGTAGAAACAGAAATGGCTCGTAGAGATGCCTAAAGGGGATGTTTCACAGTTGTAGATACTGAAGCAAGCACTAGAGGTGAAGAAATAAGCTCACCGTCACCTATTTGTATCCTTTTAAGTGGAAAAGACTGCTCCAGATAACACCGTTTTTCCGTCGAGTAAATATGTACCTCCATGCGTCATCCTTGGGTTACGTCATCGTACCTTGCACAACATTGATTAAGACCCAGTTGACGGCCGTTATATTTGGAGATCGTTCTCGAACACTAGATATGAACGACTCGACAATTGCATTTTTCTTGGCCTTGATCGCCGCATGGCTAAGGGAATGACGGGATTTTAAGTGCGTTATTTTAGCGTCATGGATGCCTGGGTGACCTCGAATGAGTCTCCCCAAAATAATCTGACATCTTAGCTCAGAAACTAAAGGGGTCTGTGTTTTAAGAAGGGCAGGGCTCTTAACTGCACCGAATGATCTTCAAGATGACTATTTCAGCTCAAACTCATATGCAAATGTGGAATACTCCCTTAGATATTTTTCAATGGGGCTTTCAGGGAAAACAAAACTGACGTAAACAGGTGGCCAGAAGCAAACAAATGATGATCCGAGCAGAAACACTGACTACTAATCTTTGGCCAACTGGCCATTAATCGGTTGGCTAGCTGTAGGGAACAGGACCAGGCTAGTCACTAGCAAGTCATGAGGAAGGCATTTACCCTTTCGAAAAATACGTGCGCATGAACTGATACCGTACAACTGGGGTGCATAAATCCACTCCGTTTACGATGTTACATGTGAACCAAGGTTATGAATGTCTTCAGGCGACAAATGATTACTTACATTTTAGCTGACCTTAAAAAAACAAAACTACTTTGTGCGATTAACCATCGCCCATCATACTAGAAACCTAGACATGTTTCGATTCGCAGCGCCTTTCAGTATATGTCGTGATATATTCAAGTGTGCATAGTTGAAAATCCCCTTGAAAAAATCACCTGAAAAGTGAACTAAGGATGCTAGTTTCAGAAGTACTTTTGTGATCAAGGTTTGGAAAATTTTGTGGACGCGTTCCAAGCGATCTAAGTTCCGTGATAGGGTCGTATGTTGGAGCACACCAGGGAAGGCAGAACCTTAAATTGGGATGAGACCTGTGCAACGTGCAACATGGTGCAACATCAGGATGTCCTCTTCAGGCTTAATATCTAGCTGACACCTTTCCAGAGCTCGCAGGCTGGTTGATTGCTTGAAGGCAATTTCCACTAGTAGATTGAGTTGGTGTCCAATGAAAAGCAATCCATATCGTGTGTGGTTACATGGTATCTTAATTTATGCAAGCAATGCATTTTTGGCAGGATATTTTTGTGCAGTATGGATCTGTGAATAATAAGATATATGAATATCTGATGTGAATATGCCATGGGAGTATTTTGTAAATGAGGCAAGAGGTGGTCCGCCACACTCACGTTCCCGTTGGCATAAATAATAGGAAATAATTGAAACCATTCCTCTTCTTTGGTATTACCATAGGCTTGTTGGCTGCCAAAGTGGTATTACAGTCTGATTCTTCAAAACGGTCCAAGACGGTAAAATATAGCTGAGTAATCGACAAGCTGCATAATCGAGACTTAGCTTCCTTTTCTGACTGCAGATCATGCTAACCTCGCCTTAATAGGATCCCCCTAATGTTTTGTTGAGGATAC